AAATGGAAATAAATTTCCCTTGGCTATATCCATCAAAGTTCAATTCAAATATTTATTTAAATGCAATCGAGATGCTGCCATTTGTTTGAGGTATTTATAGATATACAGGATGGGGTTCTGTTATCACAAATGCTAATTGAATTTAAAAAAAGGTTTCCCTCTTTATAAACACCATGCTTAATTATCAAAATTCATTATCTAGGGCACATTGATAAGCATATAAAGAGTAAGATAACTATTATAATTCTATATTGTTTCTTCTGATTTGGTGCCACAATGGGTTTCTTTTATTATTCTAAACATGTTATTATAAATATATTGATGCCATTAAGATAATGGGTAATGATAAATCAGTACACGTAGAGACTTAAAAAAACCTAATAATTTCAAAATAAAAATAAAAATAACATCAAATTATATGAGCAAAGGGGTTAATAATTCTATTTCTTTATTTATGGTACCAAAAAAAGGGGTTAATAATTCTATGTAAAAAAAAGTCAAACTTCTATGTATTCTATATAAAATAACAAAATTCAACATATAGCTCATTCACATTCAAAGAATGATGAACAAAGGGAGATTTTTATTAAATTGTTATTTTAAAGGGAAAGGTTAATCTTCAATGTAGTGATCACACAAGACGAATATATACCATTTTCTTCTCCAGTTGCACTTTTGCATAATTAATCACACGACCCCATTATTGTGTTTGTCTCATTGTAATCACTTAAATTACGTAGGAGTTCCAATAAAATTTTGGAAAAAAGTTTAAAACATGCTCATATAAATAAAATTAAAAGACGTAGACTTGAAGAGCAAGAATGAGTTGCACATTGAAGCTTTATTTGACAAGTTCAATAAACTTTTTTTTTACAATAAAATGACTTAATTTTAATATTTAAAAAATTAGACTAATATTGAACAGTTAAAGAAAGTAGTTCATTGTTGATGAGCCTAACCAGATTGAAAAAGTGACAATTTAAGATTATTTGTTATGATAAATAATTAAAATGAAATCACAAAAATAAAGTTAGTGAAACTTTAAATTAACATAAAATAATTCTTCAAAATGAATTGCAGAATAAAAAATTAATAATAAGATACTAAATAAATTGTAACAATTTGCATGTAGATCCGAATGTCGTGTAGGGTTTTATTATCCACATTTTGTTTGGTGATGAGAAGGTGTTGTTCAGAATTGGTTGCATGATTCATCATCCTTTTGGAGGAATAAATTAAAAGCTTGCAAGTTGTGAATACTAGAAATGGCAAGTATCACACTTGACCATCTGAATGGGTAAATTGCTTTTGTTTTGTCATTATGAACAAAAGAGGAATAAAAAGGTCAATAAGAAATTTATCTAAACTTTTTATTTACCAAAAAAAAGTTAAAGTTCATTTTCTTTTGTTTGTGTTACCATTCTTGTCTTATTATACTTTTTTTTTTCTCATAAAAAATCTTTTTTTAATAATCACTTTTAAATTAAAGTCTTTTATGTGTTTATTTCAGTTTCTTAATATAATCGTAAACTGAAAAAAAAATTGAAATCTTTTTAGAATTAGAAGTTATTTTCAACAGATTGTCATAAAAATAAGTTTTTTTTTTCTTCTAAAAAGTTATTTTTATGATTGTAAGCAAACATAAAATAACCATATTTTTTACAATGTTTTCTTATAATTTTTTTTCCTTCTATTTCTCTCTAAAAAAATGCACTCTTTGCACATGGGTTAGAGGTTGCTACTTTTGTTTGAGTTATCATCCTTGCTGTTGTTACAGTTTTTTTTTCTTCATAAAAAATACTTTTTTTAAAAAAGCCACTTTTAATAATCTAAAATATTTTTTTAAAATAATATTTTATTTTGAATAGATTAACATAAAAATAAGTTATTTTTTTATAATTTATTTTTATGACTGTAAACAAGCATAAAATAACTTATATATTTTTTAAAGATCTAAAAAGTAATTACTAAAAATTATTTTATATCAGAATCCCTTTTTATTTTTATTCTGCGACAAACTAGTCTTTTATATATATATATATATAAAATTTATTTTAAAACTATTTTTCTTTGTTTCTCTCCATAACTTCATTTATCTTATATCACATATTCTCTCTCTTTTTCTAAACTTTCTTAGTAAAAAAGTTATAAATCAACATTAATAGGAATAAAATACGTTGAAATGCCCTAATAAACTAAGTATAAAAATTGTTTTTAAAGATAAATTATATATTTTTTATTTATCTTATTTTAAAGATTTATTTTACTCTTTTATCTTTTAAATTATTTATTTTGATCTTATATATTTTAAAATCGATTCAATTTAGTCATTCATAAAGAAATATTATTTTTAATTTTAGGATATGACTTCAAATATATTTTTTTGATTAATTTAAAATGTGAAGCTTAATTCGTTAGATTCACTAAAAAAATATTGAATCCTATAGATATTTGAACCAAAAATAGTCATAAACTTAATGAAATTCATGTGAAAATGAATCCAATGAGTCATAAAAAATTAAAAAAACTAATATCAGATTATTTTCTTTGGTGTTCATGAGAGTTATTTTTCATGTGATCTTCATTATATTTTTAATTTTTTTTAGATTTTAACATCAATTCAATTTCACAATTTTTTTACATGAATTATGAATCTAATAGAACAAAATTTACATTTTAAATAAGTAAAAAATGATTTAATATCATGTTCTAAAATAAAAAATTAATCACCGTTTTAGAAGAATTAAGTTGACTTATATTTAAAAGATCAAAAATAAAAATGAGCATTTTAAATATAAAAGACCAAAGTAATGAATTTAAAAATAAATAAAGGATAAAAAATAATATAATTTAACCTATTTTTAATAATCATTTTAAGTTTAATTTTAAGAAAACGAAACTTGTAATAATAAGTGAAAAGATACATGATGTGAGCATGGAACAAGGTAATAAGTGGTGAGAAAGACAATACAATCATACACAAGATATTAGAAGGAATACATCAAGTTTCTATAGTTAGTTAGACAACTAGCCTCCTTTGGACAGTGTCACATTATACAGACCAATCAATCAAGTGAAGAACATAGTCCATAATTTATTACTTCTTTCTCTAACTGCAATCGAGCTACATAGCTGGTTAGAGTAAAGTTATATCTCCTTATAATATCTTCCTAATAATCTTCTCAATACCTTCCTATTAATGAAGTCAACATTTTATTTGAAGGGTTTGTCTTAGCGTCATCTCTGTCGTGTGAATTTCACTTCAAAGATACTCTTCATTTTATTACTAAAATTTGAGAGAAATATAACTTTTCATAATGTATTATTTTCATTTTATTTATTTTTTCAAAAAATAAAAAAATAGAAGAAATAGACATAAAAAGAAAAGAAGAGAATCCAAATTCAAACTTCATAACTAAACAACTAGTTATTTATTAAATATTTATTTCGTTGAACTCTATGAAATATGGACGACAATTTATGTTTAACAACCCATTTTATTAACATAGAAATTAGAAAGTACTATTTCAAGTCTCAAATATAAGAAAAATAAACAATCTTATGTACTCGAACTTGAAACCAATAGATATGCGAAAAAGAAAATAATTAGCTAGTAAGAAACTGTTCACTAAGTAAATAATTAATTAAAGTAATTAATGGGAACCAAACTCAAACTATGATAATACAGCATTGGCAGTTAAGCACGCTTAATTCATCTGGCACTCATACACACTCTCATAGGATATTACTTCATCATAGTGGCATGCCGTTGCAAGTATCACTCGGTGCAAAAGCACAATATAATTTTGCATATTGGGTTATGCAAGTCACATCAGATTTATATCGTATCCATTTCAGTGGGCATCTACCACCTAAAAAATCTTAACATAGGTTGGACAGGTAACAAAAATGAGAAAGGAATTTGAAGTTTAAGCATTGGTATCAAGTACCGTGGAGGTAGATTTTTTATTTGGGCAGTTTTGCGCACACCAAAATATTACACCAACCTCAGACTCATTTATTCTAGTGGTATTTTGGGTGTTCTCTTTTCTTCCTTCTTGGTTAAAGATCCTAACTTCAGCTTTATTGATTACAATTTTGAATCTTCATTCTTATTTTGGATGTTCCCTTTCTAATTACTTATCTTGACATTTTTTTTAATTCTTTATAATAGGGGACTTAACATTTTGAAAAATAAATAAAAAATATGGAATTTTAATATTAAAAATATTACTTATATTTTTCACTGCAAAATAACTACAATTTTTAATTATTACATTCTAAAGACGTTTATTTCAAAGATACGTTTGACAAGATTTATTTCCTTAATTAACATTTAATTTATGAAACATGGAAAATGCTAGTTTCATGAACACGAACCACTCAAATCGTTAACACGTCTTTGAAAATGAAAGGGAGAATTTGAAAAGATTTAAACTAGAAAAATATACCTTTTGATTTGATTAAACTAGAATATAAATTTGATTAAGAATAAATCTTTTAAATTGAAGTAACGACTAAACATTTCATTTTAAAAAGTTACAACGCTAACGACTTTTAATAACTTTTCACATTGTGTTTGATTCAACTTATATAGGAGAAAATTGATTATTTTGTATCAACTTATTATTTTTTTAAAATAAAATAATCATTCCTCCAAAAAAATAATTCTAATCAAACATGCAATAAATTAATACAAAGAAACTTGAGCATGAGCAATATGAAATTGTAACTTTTTTACTTTGTTGCCTTTGTATCATGAAGTAGGGAAGAAAAATCACATCTAAAATCCTTCAACCAAGTTACATGGTTTTTGGAAATTTTATACAGTCAACTAATTAGATATTATCATTCATGACTTTTTACTTATTTATTATAAAATCAATAACTTACTTTAAATAATAATTTATGATTAGATACCAGTATAAAATTACTATATACCGTTTGTGCATACCTATTTTCTTTTAAGCATGTGGTATTACAGCTAAGACATTTTCAAATTAAAAAGTGATGAATTTTTATGCTACTTGATGGAACATTGAACCTAACAATTCTGTCATAATCAACAACTTAATTAAGATCCACGTTTTGGGAACGCCGTCCCTTACATTTCTCTTTTGTAACTGGGCCATACTTGATTAAGATCCATACATTAAACCTCTCTTTTTATTTATTATTATTATTATTTTGTCTCTTCTCCTTCTTCTGTTTCTTCTTTTTTCCAAGGAACTTAGCACCATGTTGAAATAATCATTTAAGTAACTTATATACAGTCCTTGGAGTACATGACAATGATTCCAGTCCCAAAAATTAAATGAGGATGGAGGCTGCAAAGTAGAACATTGGAATAGACGCGAAACCCCACAATCAGCCCATCACATCCTTCAGTTAAGAAGATAGTTACTATACAAGATGGGCCCAATAAACTAAACCACTTGCTCCAGGCCCCTTTTGCTCGTATGTATGGCTAGTTGGCTAGTGATTGTCTATCTGAAACATGGATTTAATGATTGCTTATGGTAAGATTTTGGGCATGTCATCTGCTTGCCAAGAGAGGGAGAATTTCATTGCCAACAGAACCGGATTCTAATACAAGCTTAAGAGGAGTGTTGCCTTCTTTATCTGCGATATATGTATTGGCCCCCCTGTAAATTATTGGTCAAGCTATGTCAATTTTCCAAATTTAACTAAAATTTATCGATAATGAACACAGTATATCTGGAGATAGAACATGAAGAAAATTTCCAGGAAACTGAAGTTTGAAATTGTAATGCAATATTTATCTTCCTGGTCGCATAAATCTTATTATTTGAATGATATATTAATTCCACCAACCTAATCTCAAGTCTGAATTCCAGTTGTGTGGTTATGGGGTACAGCTTACCAAAGGAAAAAAGGACAAAAATGAATTACAGAAATGATATTTGCATATTAAAAATAAGAACTCAACTAAAGCTATTGTGGACAATAAAACAAAAAAGAAAAACATAGTTCAACACTCT